TAAATAAATAAATAAATAAATAAGTATTGATAATTATCTGGAGGAGTCCTTAACTTTAGGATGTAGTTAGGCAATTAAATATTCACAATGTAAATTTATTACTATAATTGAAGGTGATTCATGCAAAATTATGTCTCTATAAAACAAGTACCCACCCCTCTGCTTAGGCTGCTGCCCCCGTGACCAGTTTCTTAGGGGACACACTGGATGGAGTTAAAGTGTGTACTTTTGTGTTATTGTGGACATATAAGCTTAGAACAGGTGCCCATAATTATTCGAAATCATGAGCAGTGACTCCTCAGSTTTTAAATATCATTGGATTTTTTTTAGACAACACTAAATATTGTGTAGTTATTGCAATACAAAATACACTTGATAAAGACAAACTTAGACCTTCTGTGATAACATGACTGAAAGATGGAGGATCAGTTTCAATGGTGACTTTTCTTTTTTAGGATCCAAGTGTCTCTACAGCGAAGAAGAGGGAGGTAACTCTCAGATGCCTCATCGAGTACATGGGAGAGTGTGGAGACGAGCTCATCTCATTTTACTACGTGAGTCATTTTTAAAAGTAGGATTGTGCTTGTCCTCTGTACAATCTTAAAACAATTGTTTGTGAAAAGTTGAATGGTTGGTGAATGCAAAATAATTAACTAATTAGCAGTTAAACTGTCAGATAGTTGACCAATTAATGCAATGTTTAGTGTAGATTAGGATTCACAAACTCTAGTCCTCAAAAAAATTCTTCTATACAACTTTTCAATACATTCCTGCTCCAACACAGCTGAATCAAACGAATGAATTACCTCGTCATCAAGTTTGACTGAGGGTTGTAATGAGCTATTCAAGCTTCTTTCATGTCAAATCTACGAAATCGCCGCATAGACCGGCCCGGCTTTATTCCCCCACCCCGGGTCATTCATAAAACCACAGGAGAAGCCGGCCAGGTCCCGCACACATGTTCATGTTCATAAATGAACCAGCATTGCGTGGAGCAGAACTCAGGTGGGCTGAAGTGAAGTGCGACATATTTATTGTGGGACAGACGTCTGCTGCCTAGTATCAAACAAAACAAACTGAATAACTTACTTTAATGATTCTGTGGTGGATACAGGGTTCCTGCAGATCCTTAAAAAGTCTTAAAAGGCATTGAATTCATCAATCCAAAAATAAGGCCTTAATTAGCCTTAAAAGGTCTTAAATCAATCTTTCAGACATCTTAAAAATGTTAACACATCGTACATATGATTATTGTAATTCATTTCAAAAATTAAAATAATTGGTAAAAATTATTTTTTAAAATATTCACCTGCAGACATTCCCCTTTGACATCACTTCCTGTTATTTCGCATGCAAATATCTCAATTGTTTATTTGAGCAGTGTGAAATTCATTTTGTAATATGTTAATGTCTTTCCAAAAATGCATTCACTTTTCTTACAAAAAATTGATGTCACCGGCACTTTAAGGTTTCATATACAACAAATTGGGGTTAAGATCCTGGGTCCTAAAACTCCAAATTTTGGACTGTTGGAGCATTTTCTGAAATTAAATTAAATTAAAACTAACTGCTAAGAATGTTTCTGCTAAAGTTAGATATGGATAAAAACAATTGGTCTATTAGCAATATTTGAATACTTCAACCAAAAATACTTTTGAGTTTTTTTTATTTTTACAGAGTTTACAAGACTGTAAAAATACTGTAGGCTGTTTAGTTTTGTAAATTTTTAAAAATATATTTTAACACTGACGGAGCTATTTTATTTACACACAAAGCATTCTGGGTAAATGATGACGTGGATAGGTCCTCGGT